CAATAACACATAAAAACACTTCCATACTTCACAAATGATACACAGATTTGCTGTATCAACACTTCAATAGATACACATATTTGCTGTATCAATAACACATAAAAACACTTCCATACTTCACAAATGATACACAGATTTGCTGTATCAACACTTCAATAGATACACATATTTGCTGTATCAATAACACATAAAAACACTTCCATACTTCACAAATGATACACAGATTTGCTGTATCAACACTTCAATAGATACACATATTTGCTGTATCAATAACACATAAAAACACTTCCATACTTCACAAATGATACACAGATTTGCTGTATCAACACTTCAATAGATACACATATTTGCTGTATCAATAACACATAAAAACACTTCCATACTTCACAAATGATACACAGATTTGCTGTATCAACACTTCAATAGATACACATATTTGCTGTATCAATAACACATAAAAACACTTCCATACTTCACAAATGATACACAGATTTGCTGTATCAACACTTCAATAGATACACATATTTGCTGTATCAATAACACATAAAAACACTTCCATACTTCACAAATGATACACAGATTTGCTGTATCAACACTTCAATAGATACACATATTTGCTGTATCAATAACACATAAAAACACTTCCATACTTCACAAATGATACACAGATTTGCTGTATCAACACTTCAATAGATACACATATTTGCTGTATCAATAACACATAAAAACACTTCCATACTTCACAAATGATACACAGATTTGCTGTATCAACACTTCAATAGATACACATATTTGCTGTATCAATGGAGTCCATCCCCTATCTTCTCCAAATAATATCCGGTTTAGGAGCCTAACCCCTACCTCCTCCTAAATCGTGGAGTACATCCCCTATTTCCTCTCATACAACACAATGTATATAAACACATATCATATACATAATCAATTAGTACATAAACTTGATGTATTCTACCAATTGTCATATTCGATGACATATTCAATTGATTAGTTTTAGTTCGCCTAATCATCATGTATTGTCTACAATAATCAAGACTATCCTCCACCGATAACCCAAAGCAATTATTTCTAAACAGATAATAATTACATCCAACAGATAAATTATTAACAATATCCCAGGTGGGTGATTAATGAATCCAACTCCACCATTCTATCTCATAATGAGCCAATTACATTATTTTCAACTCAATTTCATATTTCCATAGTAAATGTCATTAATTACACTAATGACCCAATTAAACCCAAACATGGCATTTTCCCCATTTTTCTCAATAGTGACCTAAAGGTCCAAATATTATCAACAACATTAATAAATTCCATTTTAGACCCAAAACACATATGTATGAGTCAAATAAACAAAACCCTTCTTTTCATTTTGAAACCCTAATACCCAAAATTACCCAACTCAGACTCCCTCGCTCGAGCGGAGGAACAAAAACAAATGGTCCCGCTCGAGCATCAAAACTCCCGCTTGAGCGTACGATGACCTGTACAGAAAATATTGGGAGGTGACAAAACACGCTCGAGCGTCAAAACGCCCGTTCGAGTGGAGAAGCAAAAACAAAGGGCCCGCTCGAGCGTCAAAAGGCCCGCTCGAGCGTGAAGTCCAAAATCTGGGCATCAACTATTAGTTTCTAAACCCAACCATCCTGTAACAAACCTGCCCAACACATCCTATAACTCAAAAATAAGGAATTAAAGGATGACAACAAGATATATATAACAACAAGCTCCACGGAACCTAAGTCCAGATACAACAACCAAATGGGGAAAGACCGGGATCGCTATAACCTTCCCCCTTAAAGAATATATGTTACAACATGCATTATCAATGTGCATTTCCTTCAAATCCAACAATTTCTAAAATACATGATTCACAATTCCATATCATATCCCTGTTCATGATATATTTCCATTTCTACAACACATTCAACATATGCAATGTTATAATAAACTTCCATTTTAAGGCAAGTTCTACAATACTTCCATAAACCGAAACATATACAATATTTTATAACTTAAGACACATTCAATACTCTTAAAATTTAACAACACAATAAAATATACAACATACACTCAAACATCCACAAATAGATTCGGATATTTCTCTTGGACCTCCAACTTACGTTCCCAAGTGGCTTCCTCCACTCCGTGATGTTTCCACAAAACTTTCACCAAGGGGATGGTCTTGCCTCACAAGACTTGATCCCGCCTATCCAAGACCCGAACCGGTCTCTCCTCATACGAGGCATTCTGGTTAGCAACTGGTAAAGTGGGGTTTTGGTAGTGTTAGTTATGCCTACTTGCAGACACCAACCTAGGGATTACCTGAGTCGTATTTACTGTCATTGAATTAAATTGTAAATTGTGAATTGTTGAGATTGCAAATTATCATTGAGCATGATGGTTTTTAGAAGATGAGCAAAAGTGAATCTCCTTTTCTTTTAAAAGACATAGCATGGCATGCGCATTTCATAATGGAAATCTTGCATAAAATGTATATACTTTGTTAAGAACTCTCTACTAAGCTTATGCTCACCCTATGGGATTTTGGTGCAGGAAAGGACGTGGCGAACCCGCCAATCTAGGGCATGGATGTATGTGTATAGGGCATAAGGCTCTATTTTGTTGTGATTGTATTTTGTAAGCCTAGGGCTATAACTATTCTGGTCCGAGAGACCATTTTTTTATGTAACCAGGCTTAAGCCTTGGAATATGTAAGCCCCTTTGAGGGCATTTTATTTATTTTTGGATTTGACGTTCTACATGCTGTAGATGCATATATTTCATATCATTGAATGTATAATTCGCATGTGGGACCATTTTGTACAAACTTAAATGATTAATGATTCAATAATTGGAGAATTGCTTTTATTCTTTATTGAATGCTGGAAAATTTTGGGGCGTTACAATAAGTATTTGCAAACTATAGGAGAGTTGAAATTAAAATGTTTGATTTTTATAAGTTAATCAAAAAATCACTCGCTTAACCATTGGGTTATCCTTATTGATAAATTTAGTTATTCAAAATGTATGGATTAATTTTATTAGAAGGGGTATTTATTCATATATTTCTCTTCACTTATTTGTTCAAATTATTTTCTTATATTCTAATACGTCCTATGGGTAACATAGATACAAAAATATCCCTAGTAATAATATTCATACAAAATTATGTTAGTAGCTAATTGGGATACAAATATTTGAAAAAAGATTTTCTAATAAATCCCACTTATTAGAAATACGACATATATTACAATAAAGTTAAATTTATAATATATGCTTTATTTTAAAGTACATATATATGGTTTTTTTTGCTTGTTTTAAGGTTTTAATTCACAATAAAATCTTATTTTAGCCAATTAATATGAGAGGCATATCTTCTTTCAAATCAACACATTTTAAAATTTATTAAAATTTTAAATTAAATTTAAATAATTTATTATTCGACTTGTTTAATAGTTTAGTTCTATATTTGTTGTTAGTATTCATTTAAAAAATAAAATATATACAGAAATAGTACAAAAATTGGAGTTTTCTAAAGGATACTACTGATCCTTTCTTTTTCATCTTTAAATTTCCTTAAATTTGTTCCTTAGGTTGATTTTTCTTGATCAATGACCCAAGACTTGGAATCTTATAAACCATGGAGTACGAATGTTGAATAGTCTACTAATGTAATGGGTATAATTGGCATCATAATCACACCATTAACACTCCATCTATTTAGACAGCAGATATTTTTTAAAAAATATTTTCTTAAAAAGCATTTTTCTTAAACTATGATTGAAATTTGTACAAGAGGTTAATTGATAGTGACAGGTCAAAACAAGCCATGATGCAAATACATAGCCCATACTAAGAATTGATACATGTAATTAGGATAAGTAAAACATAAAATACAAATATAAGTAGAATATAAATATTTATGTTGTTCCTCCCAAAATAAGGTTATGAGTTATAATATAAGATAGAAAAATGCAACACTTCAATTATAAATATATAGTATTGAAGTAATGTGGCAGAACTGTAATTAATATTAAAAATATGCTTAGTGTTACCGTTTCTTCTTTGCAAGGATCCATACTACCGAATAGATCCACTCTTATATGATGTAGTATTTATGGCAACACTTTTAGATTAGTGTTGGATAACATTGTTAGTTTTTTATATTTTGTAAACATGAAACAAAAAGTATAAAAACATTGAAATGTTCACTACTCAAGGAGGTCACCTATTAATTACAACTTTGAAATTTTTTTTCTTGATGCCTTTTAATCTAAACTTTTACAACTAAGGCCGATAAGTATTTATTTATTTTTTTAAGCTTTTCACGATCACTGGATGAACAATGACTTGATTGTATTCTAAGATCTCATGGCTAGAACCAACCTACGTGAGTGTTCTATACATTGAAGTATGTAATAGTAGTGGAGTGCACCTCTATTTGTTTCAATGGAAAATATTTTAATGGAAGTCATAATCAACAAAAAAAACAAGCTTACTTTGATAGAAAATGTTTTCTACTTTTGAAAAATAAAAATATTTTTTGGATTAAAGTCTTGCCAATGCCACCATCACACTACCACTAATATATTAGTTTCAAGTCACAATTAAATATAAAAAAAAAATTACTTCCTGCTAAAACAAACAGTGAATACAATAAGAATACTAGAGAATGGAGAGATCATTGTTAGGTCTCATCATGTCAATATATATGTATATTCTTCATACTCTCTAATTTAATTTTGTGTATATGAACATGTTGTAACAAGAAACATTTATTAAGCTTTCAGATTGTACATGGTATCAAATCTAACTAAAAGAACCTAAACTCCAAAAAGAGGAACAGGTTTATAAAACTTAACCCAGTAGATGAAAAAAAATGATATTGTCTTTTACAGCAGTAAAGATTTTCATTTTCTTTTAAACAAGTTTTGGGGCATATAATGTGCATCAATATAGTGTGTGTTTCTATCGAGCATTTAATAGAGCAATGGGCATTTCATTGGCTGAAGTTGTTGCTTCCTTGCTTGAAGAACCAGCAGCCTCAAGAACATTTCTTTCGGTGAAGAAGCCAAGCTGTTGGCCTGAGGCAATGCACCTTCACTACCTAACATCAGAACTACAGATGACATGCTTGGCCTATCCTCTTGAGATTGTTGCACACATAAAAGGTCCACGTGGATTGATTGCAACACTTCAGTTAGGTAACATGAGTCCCATAGAGCCTCGTCAATCAATTCCAATGATCTACCTTCTTTGTAGAGTCTCCATGCCTAAACAGATTCTCACACAATTCAACAATTGTTAATGTTTTGGAATAGCAAGAAAAGAGGGATTTAAGATAGAATCATATAAGAATACTTCGAAACTTAGTACACTTACATCACCAAAAAGGTTGTGGTAGTGATCTGGATGATAAAAACCTCTATTTTTCTTCCTACTCACAATATCTAGCACCAAAACGCCAAAGTTGAAGACATCTGATTTTACTGAAAACAACCCATCCATTGCATACTCTGGAGACATGTAGCCACTACAAAATAGTGTTGAATAAAGAACTAGATTTTGAAGCAATAGACAAAACATGTCGTATTGATTCTTATTATGTTCCGACCACTTTGTTTGTATTTGCTTCTATCTCATTCCTTGAAAACTTCTAGCCATTCCAAAGTTTGAAATTTTTGGGTTCATGTCAATATCTAACAAAATATTGCTTGCTTTGAGATCTCTGTGAATAATTCTCAGCCTAAAATCTTGATAAAAATAAAGAAGCCCTCATGCAATCCCATTAATAATGTGGAACCGCTTTCGCCAATCCAGTAATCTACTTTGGGTTTGATTAGTCCAAATGTTTGTTTGTTAAATGCTCCCAAATTTTGGAAGATCAAGTTCATGCAAATGTAGAAGTGATAAAAACTACATACAATTTTGGTCCCATTATGAAATAAATCGAAAGGTTTATATGGAATCAAAAAGAATAAAACTAAAAATAAAAAGAGGAAAAAATAAAGAAAGATCGTTGGCTAGTTTGAGAATGGAATGGTTGTGATTATATACATGGTAGGGTAAGTTATACTAACCTGCCTTTAGATTTGAAGAAAATACATCGATTTTCATAAGTTTGACATAATTACTTTGGGCTCCTTTATGATTTTAATTCATATAATATTTTGATGTCAATTAACCATTGTACAATAGTAGATAGTGTGACTGTTCCGTGATGTGAACATTCACGTTGTCAATGTGAATGTTCACACTGTCAAATATGAATATTCATATCACCAAGTTGCTAAGCATTCAAAAACTATTTATAAGGGAAAAATTGTCCATAAAATACCTTAAATATAAGAATTAGGATTTGATAGATCAAATTTCCAAATAATAGGACTTATTGAAATATAAGAATACGCCATGGACTAATTAGAATACAAGTACTTGAAAAATGATTTCCTAATAAATCCTCCTTATTAAAAATACGACATATATTATAGTAAAATTATATTTGTAATATATGCTTTATTTTAAGGGGCTTTTTTATTGATAAATCTCATTTAGAGGTGTTCTAACCTAATAAGTCCACCAAGGAAAAGTATAACTTACTTAGTCTCATGTATTTATACTTTTATTTTGTGAGGTCCTTTTTTCTTGATTTATATTGTTTGTTAGACTATTATACCCTTATGTCTATTGTTGACATGTATTACATAGAAAAATGATATACACATTTCCTTTTTGTTGCTACTTCTATTTTGGGAATTACCATTACTCGTGTTTTTCTTTTTAATTAGTTTCATTCACATTTGTGGTGTTGTTTCATTGTGGTAGGGTTTCGAAACTCTCTATTTGGTAGGGTTTAAAAACTCTAATTTACGCATGATGGTAAAATAATATTGGGTGTGTTTGGTTTGTGTTTTGAAATAAATTTTTAAAAAAAAAGTGGGGAGAGAGTTTAGAAATTTTTTTTTGTTTATTTGGTTGTATATTTTGAAAATAGTTTGGGAGTTTGGGATGATTTGATATTTTGTTGTATTTGAGTAGATATGTGTGAGAGAAAAACTGAGAAGAAGAGAGAAGAGAGAAAAAGTGATTGGTTGATGTGTAATAGAGAGAGAAATAATATTGAAATTTTTTTGAGAAAATTTGTAACCAAACATATTTTTGGAAATTTTCTTCCAAAAGCATGTTTCAAAACACAAACCACACACACTCATTATGTTTCTCCATTATTGCGGTGAAACTTTGTGTTCTTCCATTGTCACTTTGTGTTCGAAATTCTATGTTCGTGTAACGCCCGGAAAATTGGGCAGGGTATATCAATTTGTGCTACAAAGCCCACCTGATGGACAAACATATATATTGCTAACTATCCCATACATCCATTTCCATTAAATCCCAAATGCCAAATACATGCTATTCACATCTCAATGCCATAGTTCCAATCCCAAGCATACATTTTACAACAAGTATGAAATGGAAGCCGAACAGATAATAAGTGCCCTACAGGCTTACAAATTTATACAAGAACATTCTTGGTTACACAAAATGGAGTTTCAACTCAACGCAAATACAGCCCTGGGCTTACATTCAACAAATAACAATAAGACAAAAATAAAGCCTCAGCTTCGAGTCCTCCAAAGTCAATGCCTTGGCGGAGGCATAGCACCAATACTTGAAATGGTTTTCCTTATAGGGTGAACCACAGCCCAGTAGAGATATACTACACAACATATGGACCATGACAAGACTAAAAAGGAGTATGCTCATGCCATGCTCATGATAAAATCGTTTATCTCTCTTTTATAAAGCATGCAATGCTGAGATGCAACAACAGTTATAAAACCATTTCTATTTTAAACCATATCTGTTACATGAATACAGGCTCTGTGAATCTCTAGGTGAGTGTCTACAAGTAGGCCCTAATGCACTACCACTGTCAGTTTTACCAGTAAACTGGAAGGCTTGACACCTAACCACGTGGTTCCACAACCCCTACCCAGATTCACCAAGTATTCATCTTTTCACAAATAGATACATTTCCAAACATTTCTTAGAAACAGATACATTTCCAACAAAATGAATGTAATGCAATGTCCAATGCAACAAATGAAGAATGCGGTTCAATTTACCTAAGCCTCATGCATTTCTACAACAATCATGGCTATCCTCCACCGATAGCCCAAAACAGATTTTTCTAAACAGATATTTAAACAATTAAATTCCAAAAAATTTTGATAAATATAATCTATTCCACATCTCATCAAATATGAACAACTACACTAGTTTTCATATCACAATCACGTCCGGTAACCTCTCAAGGTCCATTTCTAACCGTAACGATTTTATTCCAACAGATACATTAAGCAAAATAATACCGTTAATGCCCAAGAAAACATCATTTTCTTTCCAAACTCAATTTCCAAGAATTATTCAACTATGGCATCCTATTTTGATCAAAATCCCCAAAAGTTAAACATAATTCATTTGTTTTCTTTAAAAATGCTCTTTTGGTCGCAAAACGGTAAAAATTTCAAAACCGATCGAATCGAAGTCCGTTGTTGTTCAAATTTAAAACATAGTTCTTTCATAACCTTACAAACATATTCCAAGTTTACACTTTCACAATTTGGGCATCAACTCTTTATTTTTTTCAAAATTTTCCTTCTAAGCAAATAAATCACAAATTTTTCAAAAAATCTAATTAAATTATATACAACTCTAAGTTCCATATAATCAAGTAAAAGTACATAAAAAAGTGTAGGAAAAATCCCTATATCAAGGCAAGAAGCTTTCAAATTTTTTGGCAACATAAATTAAATCTGCTCGGAGCCAAACTACACATTTTCCGCCCTCTATGTTTTGATCCAAAGCACTAGGGGTCAAAATGACTTATACTAGATCAAACCCATGAAAAACCAACATTGGAACCCTTTTTTCTCTCTTTCTCCTCACGGCAAGAACCCAAAGTTGAACAAGCATCCTATTTGGTCACTTATATATATATATATATATATTATAAACAAATATCTAACCAAATATCTAACCATAAATATCTAACTATATATATATATATATCAATCAAAAATACATTTCAACATCTTTAATGACAAAAGTAAATATAATATTTTCTCACCACAAACTATATTTCATTTAATGGTATACACCATAAATATTCACAACTCTTTTATGGTAACACTATTACATGGTTACTAACGGGTCACAATTCAATCAATTGGGTCCAAAATGAATGGAGTTTAATAATTTAAAACAAATCCCCAATTGATTTATTTCAAATCATGGTCGGAACACCCAAAACTCAATTTTAAATTCTGCTATAAATTAAACGAGGACTTGAAAACTCAGAAGTTTGTGACTCCCGATTTCCTATCCAACTTTATGTTTGGAATTTTATTTGCCAACTATGAGCCCATCACTTCAGTTATACTATTGAGTTTGAAGTTACTCTCAGAGCATCCTTCGATTTTGGAGGAGCTAACAGTACGTTTGCACTCCTAAATTTTAACTAATTGACACGATTGTTGATTGCTTTTTCAATTTTGGTTGATAAATGATTTAGTAGAACTCTCCATGCATATAAATTTGTGATATTAATGATTGTTTACTTTTATCAGGCTGAAAATGAAGCAATCATTAGAAACAGGAAGAATCCAAATTCTCCACTTTCATGGGAAGAATATAAATCGATGACTTTTACACTTAATGTACGTTTGTACGATGATCCCAATTTATTTTGTTTTCTGCCTCAAAAGGATTAATTAATTGAAATTTTATTCTTACTTTACTAATGATGTGTATTTCTTATTAATATGTGAAATTGCAGGTTGTGAACGAAGTTCTTAGGTTGGGAAATGTAGCTCCAGGGTTGTTAAGAAGAGTAACAAAAGATATCAAATTCAATGGTATGTATTATAAATTCCATCATAATAACATCAATTAGCTCCACATCTTTATTTTTTATTACAAATATAAGGTCCATATAATAGAATTTGAAATATTTATTGCTTAAAAACTTAACAGGATATACAGTTCCAGCGGGCTGGGCCATTATGATTGTTACTTCTGCTCATCAACTGAATCCAGAAGCCTTTAAGAATCCAATTAAATTTAATCCATCACGTTGGAAGGTGCATCTTGAGCTTTTCAATTTTTTTTATTTTATTTTTTGGTTTCAAGAAGGGATCGCGTGAGAGATTTTAAAATTTTTACTGCTGCACATCATTTTGATGCCTTAATTGTTCTAATGTTTAAAATAGTGACATTGACCATTAAAGGGTGAATTATACTATCAGTCCTTATAGTTTAGAACTTGTGTAGTCCCTGACTTTTCATGTGTGACGCATTTGACCTTGAATTTTAAATTTTGTTCCAAATAAAAACAATTGAAGATACCATTGCTCAATTTCAAGGACAAAGTCTTCAATTTGATAAAATATAAACTAATTTGATAAAAATAAATGTCAAAAAAATATTTTTAAATTTTTTATAATTATTTGTACTCACCAAAAATAAAATTATGTAAAACTGATAAATCTTTTACACATTTATTTATATATTTTTATCAACGTAATTTTTATTACGTGTTTGGATGATGATCATGTAATGGACGGTTGTTTTTATTTTCATTAAATTAGTTTATGTTTTTCCAAAAGTCAAATATGGCGATAACTTTGATATCATTGTCAAACCAATCCATTAAATCAAAAAATTCAAAACTAAAAACATTTTATATATTAAATATATCGATTACACATTAAAAGCTTAACAACTATCCATTATATGGTCATCATCCAAACACATAATAAAATTTAATTTGGTAAAAATAAAATTAAATAAATGTGTAAAAGATTTATCAATTTTACATAATTTTATCTTTAGTGGGTACAAATAATTTTTAAAAATTTAAAAATATTTTTTTGACATTTATTTTTGTCAAATTAATTTATATTTTTATCAAATTGACGATTGTACCATTTTTGTATTTTCAACTATCATTATTTGGAACAAGATCAAAATTTAGGATTCAATGTGTCACAATTAAAAAGTCAAAAATTAAATTGACACAAGTCTCAAACTATAGGGACTGTTAATGTAATTTGCTCATCATTAGAAAAGGGCATTGACAAGTATTGACATTGCACCTTAATTATTGGAAAATAGGACCTTGATCCAACTGTGATATCAAAGAATTTTATGCCTTTTGGAGGAGGGATGAGACAGTGTGCAGGAGCAGATTACGCTAGGGCGTTTGCATGCACCTTTCTACATGTATTGGTCACCAAGTATAGGTAAAACATTTTTCTTTTTGCTTCTCTTCTTTGTTTTTTCGTTTTTAATTTCTACTTGTGTTACTCAAGCTTGTTAACAAAGAGTAGTATTTGTTTTCAACTTAATTTGTGATTTTATTTTGGATATACAGATGGACAAAAGTCAAGGGAGGAAATATTTCTCGGAGACCCGTTTTGGATTTTGTAGATGGCCTTCATATCAAAATCACAGAAAAGAGCAACTGAATGCGATAATATTTCAGAGAAGCAAAAACCAGTTCTGTTTTATACCCTTACGTGCACTGTTTTTTCTTGGTTACTTTGTTTTAGTTTTTTTGTTATGTAATTCATACTGTTATGTTGTTCAAAACTACATACTGTTCTGAAATGGCTACCCCATGTTTGTGATATGTATGCATACTTTTCATTAATAAAGTTTTTTTTTCTTTACTGATAAAAAAAATAAAATAAATAAATATGTAAACTATGCTCTATGCATAAACAATATTGCTTCCTTTGTACTTCCGTAAAAAAATTTCTGAATACTTTCCTTAACCATTGAATGAACACTATAGCTTGCTGTTATTCCTCTTGTTGTTTGGCTTCATTGAGCAATTAAATTTACAAATAACGAAAATCTCTATCTGTTTCCCTGGGATTTTTTCTTTTTTTCTTTTGTACGACCTCATCATGATAGTACTCCGAAAATGTTAAATAACTTTCCAACGTGAAGAATAATGGCCTTGTTTGGTTTGTTTTTTAGAAAAAATTTTGAAAAAAATTCTCTACAAACAAATTTTCAAAAGTAATCAAACCAAACAATTTTTTTTTAAAAAAATCTCAAAATTTTGTTTGGTTATTTACTTTCCAAAATCACTCTCTCTCATACTTATCAAATCAATCACTTTTTTTAAAACTCTTTCTCCAAAATTATTTTTCAAAATCATTTTTGAAAAAAGACAAACCAAACAAGTTTTTGTACTTTTTATTTCAAAAACTATTCTACAAAAACAAACCAAACACACCCACTATTAACTACTACATTAGGAGGAAGTTTCTCACCCTTCACCTTCTAAAGTCGGGACAAACTCTTGGGAATGAGATATCAAATGTCTCACTTAGTGAATATTTAAATCTTTAATCATTTAATTTTATAGAAACTAATCACAGAACCTTCATGTTGATGTGGAGTCCACAAAATTTGAGATATAATTGATATTAACCTTTTTAAAAATGAGAATTGCAAATCAATAAAAAAATAAAATAAATTGAAAGTTAATGTAAAAATATGTACATGTAAGTAGAATTTGTATTATGGTACAAGTAAAATTACAAATTTTAATTGCACCATAGCACAAGAGTACTTACATTACATCTTCATACCAACTAACTAACCAAACCAAGTCTTAAGTCTCATCAAATGAAATCAGTTACATGAATCTTTTTTCTCCACTCGATTCTATCAAAGATCATTGCGTTAGTAAAATTTAGGAGATTCATATATCTATTTACTATATTACCCCATATCAATTTAGGAGATTCATATATCTACCTTTCCCCTGACATTTTCATTTACCATTACTGTATCTCATTTTTTCACTACTGCCTCTGTTAGTTTTCATTGTATATGACCAGACCATCTCAATCTATTCTCTCTCAACTTATCTTCTATCGGTACTACTCCTATACATTCTTGAATACATTCATTCCTAACTCTGTCTTTTTTAATCTTGCTATACATCCACCTTAGTATACTCATTTCAGTAACACTCATATTATCTAAATGTTGTTACTTAGTTTCTTAATATTTTGTCCTATACAACATCACTGGCCTAATAGCCATTCTATAAAACTTTCCTTTTAGTTTAGTTGGTACTCATTTATTGCATAATATCTCATACGCATTCCTCCACTTCAACTACCCCACCTTAATTATATATACCAAATCCGTTCCAATCTTTCCAATTGTTGTGATAATTGATCATAAATAACGAAAATATTCACTCTTAAGTAGTTTTTGGTTCTCAATCTTCACTTCTTCCATTGTTACTGTTATTAAAAGTACACTTCATGTATTCTGTCTTAGTTTTTCTTATTCGAAATTCTTTAAATTCAAGTGTTTCTCTCCAAATCTCCAACTTAGTGTTCACTCATTTTCTAGTCTTATCTACTAACACAATATCATCTATAAAAATTATACACTATGTCATATCATCCTGAATATTTCTTATCAACTCATTCATAATTAAAGAAAAAAGATAAAGACTTAAAATTGATTCTTGGTGTAACTCTGCAGTAATTAAAAATTCATTTGTCTCTCTAACAGGCGATCTCATAGTAATTATCACACCTTCATATATGTCCCTAAATCACATTAATGTAATTTTTTTTTCATCCATTTCTCCTCCAACACCCACCACATTACATCTTCATATATTTACAATTATTTTCATTTGAGTGCCTATTTAAAACTTAAGTGGCCTTCACAATATTTTGATTGGACTCCTTGCCATGTACCTTTCCATACAAAAATTATTCGACGTGGTTTATGACAATGTGCCTGTTTGGTGCAGTTTAAAAACTGTTTATTTCAGCTTTCAGCTTAGTTTAAACTATTTTGATGTGTTTGGTTTAGCTTATAGCTTATTGCTTATAGCTTTTTGGAAGTCAGAAATCAGCTTATTCTTTGAGTGGGGCAGGAGATGCTTAATTTATAAGTCAGAAATCAACTTATATTCATAGTTATAAGCTATAAGCTATTTAGGTATAAGTTATAAGCACTTTCCCACAGTTCTACCAAACAGGGCCAATGACGGTAATTGACTCCTTTTTATGACTTTTAAACGGGCCTTTTCAAATTACGAAAATGGAATAGATTTATCAAACAAAAATGTCATAGACTTGAAAAATAAAAAAAAAATCAAATATTGAAAACAATAACCACATGTGATGTTGGTATCACATCTATTTGAGTACTGAATAAAATATTTGATAATTTTTTTTTGGAGTTCTTAACCTTTTTTTTTTTTTTTTTTTTGTTGTTGTTGTAGTTCTTAACATTGATCTCATCAAATTTGACTTGATCTTGAATTAACTCTATATTTATGTTGTAAAGTTTGCTTAAATTAAAATAATAAATTTGAAATCTGCCCATTTAAGCCAAATATTGTTTAATAAGAATATTTTTGTCAAATTTTAAAATAAAAAATATATTTACTCTAAATATTTGAATATCTCTTTAACCATTTCAAGATTAGGATTTCAAATTTTGTAAACAATTCATTTAAATGCTTGTAATACATATTTATACTATTAATTATATATACACTAGTACTACAGGTTTGAAAAGATTAATGTTATATAAGCATAATTTTGTATAAATTAAACATTCATACAGAATAATAAGATATTTTTGTGATCTACAAATGTATTTTATTTTTATTTTTTTATGCAAGTAACAAATGTATCTTAATTATTGCTATATTTATTTGTGTAGGGCAGATTCTGTAATTTAATATTTGGATTTTGTCAACCAAACTAATTATGCCGAAACAATGACACCGAACCTGTCAAAATATCCTTCATTGGTGGTCTATCTTTTAATATAATTTATTTATTTAGTATTATTATTTTTAAAAATAATATCAATAATGGTAACAAATGTATCTTCAAGATAACAAATATATTAGGTAGACACTACAGTAGGTGGACCCTATATATCAAGTGATGAATCTCACATCCGAATTTTGTATCTTAATTGATATATTTATTAGTGTAATTTTGCAATGAAATCGGCCAAGGACATGGTGATCTCAAAATATTTTATTTTTTATCTTGAAATACTTACAATTATTAAATAATGTGAGAAATCTTAAAATAAGGTACAAATCTTTAACTAGTCTAAAGCGTGTAATTTTATTTTATTTTATTTTTAAATAATGTTCCATTTATTTGAACAGAAAATATTTACAAATGAAAAATATTTCTTATAGAATTTTTTTTTTCAAAAAAGGTTTTATGAAGAAAATATTTTTCTATGTTTGGTGGTGGTCCTGAAATGAAGATGGAGGTAGAGGTGGTGACATGGTGGTGGGGCAACAACGGCAGCGATAGCGACGGTTGGTAAGATTTTAGTCTGGAAAAATGTTTTTCGTCTTTTAAAAGTGAAAAATATTTTCTAACTATATAGGCTAGTTTTTTTTAAATTATGAAAAATATTTTCAGTTAATTTCTATTTTTTATTGTATCAAATATCAAAAAATATAAAAATATTTTTCAAAATTTTTTTTTTTTTCCAAACTAAACAAACGGAAGGTTATGATGGTCTCAAGAATATTTAGAGTGGACTTAGAATAGAGGTGTAAATTTGCCCGGTCCAGCCCATGTCGGGTCTTATGAGCTCCCATCAAAATTCAGGCCGGTTTACGGACTAGAAAATTAGCCTCATACCCAAGGGGTATTCGGGCCATGGGCAGGCCTAAATTTTTATTTTTTTTGTTAATTTTTATTTTTTCTACTAAAATTTTATTACTTACCACTAAAAGAGACATTGGACCTTGGGCAGGTCGATCCTCAGGCTGGGCCTTGAGTAGGATGGGCCATGAGCAGGGCCGAACTTCAAAATGATAGCCTAGGGTCTCGAACTGAGCTTGGACCCGGGCCCAAATGGGCCTAAATTGGCCAAGCCCATCCTGAACCGCGGGCAGTTTTCGGGCTGTCTATGAGCCTCGAGCCATTTTTACACTACTAACTTAGAAGCTCCCGTGGCTAATATGGAGGAAATTCTATTTCAATATATCTACTTATTTAGTGCACATCATTTATCAATATATATACACATTTATTTATTTAATTTATTATTATTATTTTTCTTATTCCACACACTTAATATTCTAATTATATCCCAATTCATATCCTTTTTACGCACACCACCTACACTCTCATTTCACGCGCCTTTACCCTTTTTACCCATCATTCTTCTTCTCTTCAGCAACCTCAATTTCTTTGCTACCAGAGGAGTTCCCAAACTGATTAATGCTTTCAATGGTTATGCCAAACAACCCCTGAACTTCTCCACCATCAAGAATCTTGGTTTGATCATGAGCTCCTTTATCGCCAAGACCGACCTCTGTACTTACAATTTCGCCGGAGGGTTCCTGAAATGGTTCCGAATTAGGGATCAGACTGTCAATCCCGTCGGAGGCTTTGCCGGAGATGCCCTGAATTGCTTTACCCCAAAAAATTGGAACTTCATTTCCACCAAATTGAGTTTGAATAAACCCATCATAGAGAACCGGACCGCCATTCTCGTCGTTGAATTTACTGAACCAAGCTAGAACTGAGTCATCCCCAACCACTGCACTCTCAACACATCCAAACAAACCGTAATTCTCACTGGAAAGTTGATCCGGACCTTGATTTTCACCAGCATTTCCACCAAACAGACCCTGAACCTCCACCTCCGTCACCGCCGCTAGATTGTGTTGCGATTCAGGCAGTTCCACCACCGTAGCACCGCCTCTCGTCGCCGACAAACAA